TAAATTAGAAAAACGACAATTGCAAAAATAAAGTATTTCAGAGGTAACAGATCTTTGTAATACTTGGTTTATTTACAAAATGACTTTAATTGCTGGATGTTCGGCCCCTCAGCTGGTGGTCTGCTGTAACTGTGGCCCCCAGAAAACAAGCACAGTTAGTTTAATTTGGGACTGTGCACATCGCAGTATACTACAAACAGGAAGTGGTATTATTATTCTTTAACAATGAATAACTTCCCTCTACAGTCCCTCAGCAAGTAAAGACATAATGTTTAAACAGAATATAAAGCAGCATCCCATCACCAGAGTGGATTCAGGCTTGAATAAAAAATTAATACAAATCAATGCATCTGAACATGAAATTGAAGGGATGTCCCAATTTAATTGCAAATATAGAATTTGAGTTCTGATCGAGGCATTTCTCAGATTGTAACGGAGCAGCTGCCACAGTACTGTAGACCTGCTGCAGTCTTTGTGTCCAGCAGGGGTCACACAGCAGCTGTAGTGATGTAAAATACACAACATGAACAAGTTTGTGTTCTTCCTACCAGAGAGTCGATCAGCTGACCCATCAGTGTAAGGATGTCATCCACCTGCTGCAGAAAAGCATCAGCATCCTGCAGAGTACACCTGTACCTGCTGACAAACAGGTAGCACACTGCAGCTCTGACACAAAAACCTGCTTCGTTTGTCCAGTTTTCCCAGTAAAGCTGGTTTCCTCTCTGCAGGGAGCGGAGCTGCTGCTGTCCAGGTACAAGGCAGTGATGGGCAGCATCCTTGAAGACGTTCGATTGGTCCAGCTGCAGCGGGAGGGCGGAGCCTCTCTGTCGCTGCTCCGCAGGGAGGAGGGCGGCGACGGCGGCATGTCGGAGGAGCAGCGGGCGGCCGTGGAGGAGGTGTCGTCTCTCTACGACAAAGTGGACGAGCTGCTGCACCTCCTGGTCACTCTGTCCAACGCCAAGACCCAGGAGCTCAACTTCATCTTGGACTTCAGGAACCTGGAGCAGGACTTCAGCTCGGTGAGCCCCCTGTCCAGGTGTCATCACGTCTGATGACTAGATCACTCCTAACACACCACACAGCTAGGAGATAACATAAAACTATCCTCACAGATATCAAAATAATTGGTTTTCATGTCTCTGAGATATGCTTATAATCAAAGTAACTAGCTGCGTTTCCATTGACCATAAAAATGCGCAAATTAGAATTTCGAAAATTTGCTCAATGGAAACATGTTAATTTTGAAAATAATTATGTTTTTCAACAAAAATACGTGACAGAATCATCCTGATATGAGCCGTTCGTTACGAATGTTTGTTTCACTTCAACATGTGAACAAACATGTTGAAGTCACAGCAGCATCAGTTACATCAGTAATCATGACTTCATTAATTAAATAAATATTATAAAACGTGCTGAGAAGTCACCAGACCCTGACGTTTCTGGGAGGGTTGTGTGTTGAAATCATCTCTTGAATGGTTCAGTGAACGTAAACTCAAATTTTAAGTGTGTGTGTGTGTGTGTGTGTGTGTGTGTGTGTGTG